AAATATATATATATATATATATATATATATATATATATATATATAAGCATTAAATTTGATATCTTTTAAGGTTATTTTTTTATGGTTTTGACACTAACATATAGAAAGATTATCAGTTTTGATACTATTTCAACTCAAATCTACGTATTTTCAAATCGCAAAACTAATCGAACTTACGTAAAGCAAGTAGTCAACCAGTCATTTTTTTGCTGCATTATGGTCCAGAGATCAATGGCCTTCACTTCCAGTTCCTGGCACAGCTTTAAAGTAGCCTCAGAATATATCCGGGCACCCTCGTTTGATCGAGCGGCACGTTCACTGGTTTCATAAATAAAATGCACCAGTATTAGAGTTGGAGTTTTCTATGGAAGAAAAGGAGGAGTAAAAATCAAAATCTTCATTGGAAAATTAACCCGTAGAGTTGGATGATCATCTCGTCATTGGCAGGAGGAACACCTAGAAAGATGACTCGAGTCTTCTCAGAAAGGCTCTGGCAATCAAATACAAAGCATATTAAACTAACAGCACATAGTTTTCATTTTCTAGTAATTAAGAAAGTTATTGCATAGTTTCAGCCATCAGTCATGCATAAGTTGCAGGTGTTCCCGTCATATGCAAGCATCCAGATTGAAGGATTACCTTGAGATGTGTAGCAATCTTCTTCATGTTCTCTATGAACTCAGGAAGGGGTACATGAGGACTAAGCTCAGCCGGGATAGGCTTCATTGAATCATTACCTCCAAAGTAGGTTATAACCAGTGAAGGTTGTACTGCGGCATCCTTGGTTAAGAACAACAGAAGAACATCAGTGTCCTAGTAGAACTAACAGGAGGAAATTTTCCTTACGACCCATATAAGAAGAGTAAATGCAAAGCATGGAAAAATCCACGAGAGAGTGTTAGATGCCAGAAATTAACGAGGCTTTCACAATATATATACTCACCTAGATTACTTTAAAAACGTACTTTACAAGACAAAAGATCGTAAGGTGCCTTGGGGAAAATTTTATCAAGAACTTGCAAAGCATTCCTTGAATTCCAACCTCCATATCCCCGCATCACTATGTCTGCCTGTGCCAATTGCATAATAATAATAATAATAATAAGAGATCCAACATCTTATAAGATCTGAAATGTATGATTAATGGAGTTTGAGCGCCAGATCATGTCCAGAGTCTAGATACCTGTTGTACTGCTCTAGAGACTAGAGACTACATTTTTACTTTGAATTGAACAAATCTACTGAGTTGAATCTGAAGGTTTAGTGGGCAAGTGTGTTTGCCATTTCTATTTTGCTACTTCTAGCTTGCTTCAACTTCTACACTCCTTTACTTGCCTGGTGTTTTAGGCTCCTAGTTAAAGTTGTTGGCCCATCTAGTGTTTCCGGTGTCTTTTTTTGATCATTATCATGTAAATGTTTTACATGTCAAAACAAAAACTCAAAATGCTATGATGAAAATGTCCACAGGACCACAACCATTTTCAGATTCGCAGAAACAAAGTAAGACTAACGTTTGGAACTGTGAAGAATGTTTGCTGACGAAAAAGGAAACAAGAATCATCAACGAAGGGCAACTGAAAGAAGGATAGATATATATATATATATATATATATATATATATATATATATATATATATATATATATATATATATATATATATATATATATATATATATATATATATATATATATATATATATATATATATATATATATATATATATATATATATATATATATATATTGAAGAAATACCTTGCGAGCGTATGTATCAGCAAGAATGGCACCCCATCCTCCATTGCCAAAACTTTTCTGAACAATAGAGGATCCAAACAGCACAAACTGTGGTCTCCTTGGTCCAACCATCTGTCTCTACCTGCAGTTTACTGCTGCTTCTTTCTGCAAACAAAAGAACACAGGCAACCATCAATAGCTAACATGCCCATTTTGTAGTTGCACATGATTGCAGCTAGTTTTACGCGCCTTGAAGTGCGGGCATCATGATACGACGTATACAGTATACCGAGTAGCAAGACTCATTTTGAAGTAAAAAATTCAATCAAGCTGGACACAAACACTTTTAAAGGATTTAAATGATGGTATATTTTACTATTTTTTTAAATATGAAAGCTTCAATATATCGAATTAACTAGGCCAACTATATCTGTCAGCAATTCACATCATTGAATTAATAAAAAAAAACCTAAAAAATGATCGACGGGACCCGACATTTATTTTAGAAATAATTTGTTTTTTCTTTGTTTTAAAAGTATTTTAAAAAAATTTAAATTTAAATATTATTTTAATTTAAATTTTTTTTAAAATATTTTAATATACTGATATTAAAAATAAAAAATATTACTTCTATAAATTTAAAAAGAAAATATACTTTTAAAAAAGCAATTGATATTAATATAAAAAATGCTATTAGTGGAGACTAGTTCTCATGGACATGAATCGAGAGTATGTTGTCTCTTTGTACCAGCCAACCAGGTCATTGGTCCATGCCAGCCAGCACAGTAATGGCGAATGAACCATGTCATCCAAATCCATGCGCGCGCCAGTCTGATTGATCAGCATCGTGATCATCAACCATGTTTTTTTTTTTTAACTTTTAATTTTTTCAGTATTTTTAGATTTTTTAAGTATATTATATTAAAAATAAAATTTTAAGAATTAAATTTTTTTTTATTTTAATATATTTTTAAATAAAAAACTTTAAAAACAAAATAACAAATGACAAGAGAAAATACTATAACCTTATAAAGCCAAAGCAAACACTACAAAGAAAAGATACACAGGCACAGTCGCTTTTGAGCTTCGGCTTCCTACGACACTTGGCCTAACAGAAAATGGATAAGATATGTCTTTTCGCAGTTTGTTCTTGTTTCGTTTACTTTTAAAAGTATTGTTACAGTGAAAGACTATATTATTTATCCACGCTATCATATGGGTAATATTAATTTTTTTTTATAAAATATTTAGATATTATTAATATTTTTTTAGTAAAATAGAAATTCAAATAGTACAAAGGTTAACCCAATTAACTTTGTGGATTAAAAAACAATCTATATAAACCGTAAAAATATTGTTTGATAAAAAAAATTTGAGATGATATATTTTTTTAATATTAAAATAAAAATATATTGAAGTGATTTTAGTCAATTTAGGTTAACATGTTAAATCCATATCTTTAGTTAGAAGACTATGATAACCCTATAAAAAAAACAAATCAAAATAAATTATAAAGTCTAATTCTTAATTAACCTAATGTTGGATAAAATTGAAAAAAATGAAATTAAAACTAACTTAAAAAGCATTCCAAGTTAACCTATCAAACTCATGACCCATGTCACAAGACCAAGATAATCCTATGAGAAGAAAAAAAATAAATTATGAATTTTAATCCACAATTAGTCTCATATTAAAGAATGAGATTAGAAAAAGAAATCAATTAAAGAAATATAAAAAATAACTTGGTTTAATTTGTCAAACTCATGACTCGGGTCATCATATCGAGATAATCTTATAGAAAAAAATAAAAAAAATATTCTGATTTAATTGGGTTAACATGCCACATCTATAACTTTGATCATGAGACTAATATAACTCTATAAAAAATAAATTAAAACAAATTATAAAACTTAATTTTCAATCACCCCTAACATAACCAATGTTGAATGATCAAATTTATAAAAAATTTAATTAAAAAATAACACAAAAAATAAGTTAAGTCAATATAGGTTAATCTATTAAGCATTATCCTCTCATGATGCCAAGATAACATAATAAAAAGCAAACCAAAATAAATTATGAAGCCTAATTTACAATCAAACATGATATTAAATGATGAAATTGGAGGGCAAACATGAAAAAAAAAGAAGAAAAAAACTAAGTCAATGAGGATAACTTACCAAACTTGTGACTCGAGTTATGAGATGAGGACAACTCAATAAAAAATAAATTTGATATTGAAGTATTCGTGACTTAGGTTATGAGACTAAGATAACTTCGAAAAAAAAAAGACCTGATTTAACTAGAGTGAAATTGCTAAAACTCGCGACCTTGATCATGAGACCAAGATATCCTCATAGAAAGCAAAATCAAAATAAATTATGAAACTCAATTTCCAACTGACCTAGTATTGAATGATGAAACTAAGAAAAAAATCAATTAAAAAATAACACAAAAAACAACTTGAGTCAATTCGGGTAAACTCATTAAGCACTATTCCTAAGCTATAAGGCTGAAATAACATAATAGAAAGTAAAGTAATCAAATCATGAAGTTTGATTCTCAAATTAACTCAATATTAACGAATAAAATTGAAAAACAAAATATGGGTCAATCGGGTTAACTAATCAAACTAGGTTAACCCGCCAAACCTGCAATCTATGTTATAAAAATGTGATAACTAAATAAAAAATAACTATAATATTAAATAATAAAATTATAAAAACAAAATTGATTGAAAAAATCAAAGAAAAAAAAAACAAAAAACAAAGCATTATTCAATTAAATAATGCTTTGTGAGGAGAGGTATGATAAAACCTCCTCCTCTTTTAATTAATTCCCAACCGATTTAGTGTTAAATGATAAAAATAAAAAAAATTAATTAAAAAATGACAAAAATAAACCAAGTTAACCCATGAAACACTATTTCTAGGCCATGATGTTGAAATAACATAATAAAGAATAAACAAAGTAAATCATAAAAGTCTAATTCTTAATCAACACAATATTAAAGGATAAATATGAAACAAAAAATTAATTAAGAAAAAGTAAAAAACCTTGAGTTAATTTGGTTAAACATTTAAATCGAGTTAACCAGTCAAATTACGTTTCATGTCATAAGAGTGTGATAGCTCAATAAAAAATAAATCTAAAATCAAAGGATGAAATTAAAAAAAAAAATTTATTAAAAAAACATTAAAAAAACAAAGTACTTTTCAAATGAATAGTGCTTTGTGAGGATAGATATAATAAAACCCTCTCCTCTTGTAGTTTATAGTTGTTCTTTGACTCGCATTATACTGCGAGTTGTAATAAAAAACTTTTTAAGCAAAATGTTTTTCTTAGGCATTGGTAATGTGTTTTTGTTTAATAAAAAAATAGATTTTAACTATGAATTAAACAATATTTCAATCTAATATAGAGATGGAAAAACATTGGATAAAAAAGGATGAAAATCATTTATCTACGTTACAATGCGGGTCAAGTCAAAATTTTCTTAAACAAAAAGAAATATTCAAATGTTGTTAATATTTTTTTTAGTAGAAAAGAAATTTAAATTATGTGAGAGTTAACCTGGTTAACTTTGCAGATCTAAAAGCAACCTATACAACCTGTAAAAACATTGTTTGACTAAAAAAATCGAGATAATATTTTTTTTTAATATTAAGATAAAAATATATTGGAGTGACTTGGGTTAACTTAGGTTAACATGTCAAATTTATAACCTAAATTATGAGATTATAATAACCCTATAGAAAAGAAACCAAAATAAATTATAAAGCTTAATTCTTAACCAACCTAATATTGGATAAAACTGAAAAAAAAATCAAATTAAAAATGACCTAAAAAGGCATCTCAAATTAACCTATCAAACATATGACTTGCATCATAAGATCAATGATTAGTATTTAAAAGAAGATTTTTATCAAGGTTTTATATCATCATTTTGCATTTACAGTATCAATAACTCTTTAACTAGAGCATGTTTTATAATATTATATCTTATACTATACGATACTTTTAATTTATGATAAATATGCATCTTAAATGCATGACTATCACATAAATAAAATGATTGATTAATGAGTTTAACTTCTGAAATTTAGAAGATAAAGAGAGACAATAACTTCTTAACTAAAGCATGTTTTACAATATTATATCTTATACTATATGATACCTCTAATTTATGATAAATATTAATATTAAATGCAGGCCTATCACGTAAATAAAAGGATTGATTGATGAATTTAACTTCTGAAATTTAGAAGATAAGAAGAGGGTCAAGCTTAGAAAAGAGACACTCGTTCAATCCAAATCGAAACACTGTTCGGTCATTGGATCATAACTGGAGCTGTAAAACTTGGATTTAGGTATGTTCTATATGGATGGAAAGCTAAGATATAGGCCTAAAACTTTCACAGAACAATCTGTTCAAATTCTGATGCTAACAATAATGTTTTATTCAGACAAGAAGATAGTGACTGTCACCAAGTCAAGATGTGACAACCCACTCAATAATTAGTCAACAAATCAATAGTTTTAAATTTTAACCTAAAAAAGTAGACATTTGCCATGCATTTAGGCATTTTTGTTTTCAGATCAAGATCTTGTTCTTGCTCTTTTTTTTTTATATTTTTGTAATACTTAAGTTTTGCTTTCATTAATCTTTGGTTTATGTCTTTCATTTCCTTTATTATACTTATATAATTATGTTCTCTTCTTATGTATTTATGTTTCTCTTCTTCATTATGTTTAGCTAAGTTTATTATGTCGAAGTAAAAAGGTTACACTAATGGTGTAAGAATACATATAGTACTATAAACTCAACATGGACTTTAATATTTGATACTAACATGTTTAATTTTAACCTATAAAAAGAGTTTTTACTATATTGATTTGAAATACCATTAGTGGATCCTCTAACCTTGACAACTATTTTTATTATTTTTTAATCTTTATATTAATTTTACATTTCAAAGTCCTCGTCGTCGTCATCATCATCATCATCATATAGTTAACCTCCTTGTAATTCGACCCCGGTCTATTTGGGTTATTTATTACTTCAACATTCTTGCACTTGAAAGAAGATATTAATTTTTTGGTAGTGTCCATCTGCATTCGCCAATAGAGATAGTTGGTGGTCGTAAGCTTTAATGAGACCACTTGATGAGTGTTAGACAACGCAATGATATAAGGAGTTAATGTTTTGATG